ACACACACACACACACACACACACACACACACACACACACACACACAGCCGGGCCTGGGGTCCTCTACCAAAGCTTAGCTAAGATCAGAAAGAGAGATGGTGGCTGGGAAGGTGAGGGGCGGGAGGAAAGACTTCAGCCAGACCACGGTGGTGAGACTTGCATGTGCGAAGCGCGGCGGGGGGGACTGAGGGTGGGATCACAGAGCACAGGCCCTCGTGGGAGGAAGATGAGAGGGACGGGCACACCGGAAATGAAGGTGAGAGGTGGGCTGGGCTCGGGAGGGTGGCTTCTCTAGAAGCCACGGGAGAAGGAAGTGGCCCAAATGTGGTTGGCAGTGTACGGGACTCAAGGGCAGTGGAAGCCACTGAATGGCTTGGAGTCTGGTGACGTGATATTTTGGGAAGGCAGGGAGACAGCTGAAGAGCGGGAAGGTCTGGCAGCACAGGGGTGGTTGTGTGGTGCCCCTCACAGTTGGTGCAAGGTGACAGCAGGGACGGAGAGGAGGGCGCGAGTATGGGGTGAGGAACCCCAGGAAAACCCAGTCTGTGGGCTTGCTGCGTGGCTGTCTCGGGGGAGGGGTGACAGTGACCAGACCAGGGGACTCGCAGCCGAAGGGAGGCCGGGAGTTGAGAGGGGCAGTGGGAGGGCAGGCGTACCCTGGCAGGTCGGGCAGCAGTGCCCAGACGGGGTGAGTGGGTGGCTGCAGCCCAGAGGCTCACAGGGCCGGCGGCTACAGTTCACGAAGCCTCCGAGACAGGTACACAGATTGCAGGGCTCTCGGGGATCCGGAAACTCCTGGCTGCTCAGGTAGGACTCCCATAGGTACTCGCAGCCTTGGAGAGAGGACAGGGAGGGTGGGGGGAGGGGCAGAAATCAGGGAGAGGAGACCAGTCATCCAGCTCTGAGCCTGGGCCTGGCCTGAGGCCGAGGCCTCAAAGACCTGTTGGGGAGGGAAGGGCTCAGTCTTGGCCGGTGGGTAAAGGGGTCTGGGGGGTGGCAGTTGCATTGGCCAAAGGGCAAACTTTCTCCCCTTCAGCCTGCAAAGAAGCTCCCTGTCCAGGGCCTTCCCTGTGGTCCAGTGGTTAAGAATCGATCTTGCAATGCAGGGGACGCCAGTTGGATCCCTGGTCGGGGAACTAAGATCCCACATGCCGCGGGGCAACTAAGCCCTTGCGCCTGCAACTACTGAGCCCGTGCGCCACAATGTGCCGCAATGAAAGATCCCATGTGCTGCAACTAAGACCCAACACAGCCAATAATTAAATAAATATTACAAAAAAGAAAAAAGCTCCCTGTCCAATCCACAGGGAAAACCCACGCAGAATTCGGTCCAGGGCTTTTGTCTTACGGTAATAAATATTTTTGACCCACTCTAGGGCAGTAAAGATGACTTTGACCCCGCCCTCCTGTCCCCCCACCCGTACAGTTCCCGTCCCCTCACCATCACAGGTAGGGCAGCAGTCACCCCTGGCAGGGAAGGGGCACTGTGCTGGGGCACAGGCCCTGGGCTCACAGCTGACGCTGCCCTCCCAGCAGAGGCAGATGTGGCACCGGGCAGTGGGCGAAGGGAAGCGCTCGCCGCTGGCGAACTCCTTCCCCTGGTACAGGCAGCCTGCGGGGCAGGCGAGGGGCTGGGGGGCCATGGAGGCGACGCACCAGGCGCACTACCTCCCGGGCCCTGTGGGCTGGGTGGGCACCGTTCCCGCACTTTCTTAGTGAGAACCCCGCCCCCGGAGGAGCGGGCCAGGAGGAAGGGGGAGAAGGGGTGGCGCCCTGCCTGGAGGTAAAGAGGGACGCAGAGTAAGAGGGGGACCGAGCAGGTGAGGTTCCGGGGTGGAGCTGGAAGGAGTGCGGGCAGGTGCAGCCGGGGCGTTACCGTCACAGGCGGGGCAGCAGGGCCCCTGGCGCGGGTGGGCGCAGGGCGCCGGTGGGCAGGGCAGCCGCTGGCAGGACACGGAGCCGTCGAGGCAGAGGCAGCGGCGGCAGGGGTCGTTGGGCTGGGAGAAGTGCTCCTGGTGGCGGACGGGGACCCCGCCCCCGGGCCGAGGGCAGCCAGAGGGGGTGGCTGCAGCCAGAGAGCAAGCGTCAGCGAGGCGGGGGTGGGGGGTTGGGGAGGGAGGCTGCTGAGGGGGTTCCTCGGAAAAGCGGCGAGGGGTGCGGCTCCTACCCGGGCACTGCGGGCAGCACTCTTCTGGCAACAGGAGTGGCTCTGGACAGGGCAAGGGCGGGCAGCGGCGGGCCGGGCACTGCACGTGGCCGCTCTGCAGATGGACGAGGCCAGGCCAAGTCAGTGGTAGAAGGTGGAGGAGACCCCTCCCCTTCTCACCCTCACCTTGGCGGACTTCTCCTGGTCTCCCCATGTGCCCCCCCACCCACCCACTCTTCCTTCCCATCCGGGTGGCAGACTCACCAGACAGTGACACAGGCGGCAGGGGTCGGAGGGGTGGGGGAAGTCTGCTCCGTTGGGGTACTCTTTCCCAGCAAAGGCACAGCCTGGGGGAGGGGGGAGCTATGGGCCGGGGAGAGGCCCCCCTTCCCCCAGGGCATGCTGCCCTCCCAGCCCTAAAGGCCTATAGATGGGGCCAAGCCATCCCGAGGCACCACCCCCCAACCCGCCCACCTCACCATTGCAGTTGTTCTGGCAACAGGGACCAGGCAACGGGTGGGCACAGGAGGCCCTGGGGCAGGCCCGAGGTTGGCAGTGGGCATGGCCTTCCCAGCACTGGCATTCCTGACAGGGGTCTCGGGGGTGGGAGAAGCTCTCGCCATCCATAAACACTTGCTTCTCCAGGATGCAGTCTGGGCGGTGGGGCGGGTGGGCAGGAGTGGAGACAAAGACTGACAGTGCAAGGAGCAGGCTGACAGTCCCTCCACCCTTGAGTTCAGAGCCACTGCAGAGGTGCCACTTGGAAGCTGTCCCCATGGAGGGAGAGGAGGAGGAGGAGGGGCTGTGTATGCGGACAAGCATATCTCCCCAAGCACACACTTGTGCGTGTGTGTGTGTGTGCGTGTGCGTGTGTGTGTGTGTGTGTTTAGTTCCTTTACCTGCAGGCAGCTGTGTGTGTCTCTGAGGGTGAAGAGCCGAAGGGCTCATGCATGTGCATGCCTGTGTTTGTGATACGCGCCCTGCACACTCTCCGTGTGGGCGGGGATCAGGGCACACAGCATCCCAGCTCCCAGTCTCTTGCATAGGAAACCTGAACATTTGTTGCATGAACCAGGCTTATACAGGTAGATATATGAATAGATGTGCGTGGTGGGGGTACTGGAAGAGGAAGTGTAGGAAAGGAGGGAAGGGTGGTGTTGTAACATGAAGGGACAAACGAATGTCTACTCTTCTCTCCCACCCATACCCTGTGAGTTCCAGAGAGTCCCAAGCTGTGTCAGACTGAAAAATTCGGAAGGCCATTGCTTTCTAAGGTATCCGTTGGGCCCACGGGGCCATGGAGTGGCAGGGTCAAGGGTTCACCAAGCCAGACAGGTACAGTAAGCACGTACCTGGGCACCTGGGGCAGCACTGGCCGGGTCCACTCTGGGGCCTGGCACAGGTTGTGGGAGGGCAGTTGACCAAGGAGCATGTCACGGTCCCATCCTGGGAGCAGGTGAGAAGGCAATGGGGGTGGGCCCCGGGAGGGGCTCAGCCCGGCAGCAGCAAGCCTGGGGAGGTACCTCGCAGTGGCAGGTGTGGCAAGGGTTGTCTGCATCTGTGAAGTTCTGCCCGTTGGCGTACACTTGGCCGTGGTAGGTGCAGCTCTCACAGCTGGGGCAGCAGGCACCTGGGTAGAGCAGGGTGATCACAGCCCAGCCGATCAGGGTGGGCCAGGCAAGGCAGGGGAAGAAAGCTAGATTGGGGCGGGGCACTCACCGGGGGGCTTGGTGGGGTGCTGGCAGGGGGCTGGGGAGCAGAGCAAAGCCCTGCACACGGGCACCCCAGCTTGACAGGAACAGGTTGTGCAGGGCTGACCATCAGGCTCCCACTGGACCCCCTCAGCAAACTCCTCTCCACCAAGCACGCAGGCTACAGCAAGGGGCAGGGGAGGGGGGCTGTCACCATGGCAACCTGGACACATCCACCCATCCCTGCCCTTCCCAGACCATAGGACCCTTCCCAAGACCCTGGCTTAGCCCTCCCCACAGCAGCCTCTGAACACACTCTGGAATGCCTGGTGGACTTAGGAATGCCTTCCCCTTACGGTGAAGGAACACTCCTCCATCTCTAGCTGCTGGGAGAAGCACCCTTTCGTGGTTGCCCCCCAACACACACACCTGGGCAGAGCTGGGGGCCAGAGTCAGACAGGGTGCAGGGGGCGCCCGGGCACTCCTGCTCCTCACAGGAGACCTCGCCGGCCTAGGAGGGAGGCTGGGTGAGTGGCCCTCAAGGGACAAGACAGATCCGGGGCGTGAGACAGCGGCACCGCCTACCTGGCAGGAGCAGCGGACACAGCGGCCACTCTCTTGGAGTCTGAAGGTCTCCTGGCTCTGATACTGGTGTCCCTGGTACTCACAGCCTGGCTAGGATGACAGAGGGACTGGGGCACAGGGCTGGGGCTGATGGGGAAGCCTCAGAGCACCTGAGGCATCCACCCCCCACCCTGACAAGGACAGCCACCCCTGTCCTCCAGGAGGCCCTGCCAGCCTCCCCCAGCCCACACGTGCCCAGGGTGCCATGAGGTGAGGTGAGAACTCATCCCTCACCCGTGGTGACAGAGCTTAGCTTTAGAAAGGACTTCCCCTGTACTTTAGCTCAAGGGGGCTTCCTGTTAGTCCACCGGAAGCAACCACCCCACGCCGAGACCCAGAGCCTCTCTTGGGGCAGTGCCCACCCCTCCCTGGTGACTCGAGCCCCCCACTCACTGTCACAGACTGGGCAGCACTTCCCAGGGATCCTGCCTGGGTGTCTGCAGGGCGTTGGTGGGCAGGGCAGAGGCTCACAGTGGACACTCCCATTCTGCCAAAAGGACCTGGTCAGCAGGTGAGAGGCAGGCCCAGAAGCCTGCCCCTCCCTGCCGGGCAGACACACTCACGGCACAACGGCAGTGGGAGCAGGGGTCCCCAGAGCCCACGGGCTCCCCGCTGCGGTACTCTCGCCCATTTAGGAAACAGCCTGTTGGGAAGAGGGTGGCTTAGACCCTCCTCAGGGCCCCACGCCATTCAGTGTCCTGGCTTTCACGGGAGGCTTGAGCTGGGCCGTCCGTCAGCTTTCTGAGCCCCTCCAGGATCCGCCTGCTGACTCACCATCACACACAGGGCAGCAGGTGCCCGGGAGGGGCCGGGCAGGGTATGGGCACAGGCTGGCACATTCTCGCTGGTGACACCGGATGTGGCCCTCCTGGTAGGGGGCAGAGTAGGCAGAGGAATGGGCCGTCAGAGCTCATCCAAGTGGCAGAAACAGCATTCGAATCCCAGCTATCCACTTATTAGATATTGCTATGAGTAAATTGTGTCCCCCTTCAAACTCTTATGTTGCAGTCCTAACCCCCTCAGAATGTGACTTATTTGGAAATAGAGTCGTAGCAGATGTAATCACTTAAGTTGGGATGAGGTCAGACTGGAGTGGGGTGGCCCCTGATCCATTGACTGGTGTCCTTATATACAGGGGAAATTTGGACACAGACACACACTCACACAGGGAGAGAAGCATGTGAAGATGAGGACTGAAGCCACGGGATGCCAAGGAGCTCCAGCCAACTGCCAGAGGTGGAGAGGGGCCTGGAACAGATTCTCCCTGACAGCCCTCAGAGGGAACCGACCCTGCAGACACCTCGGTCTTGGACTTCTGCCTCCAGAACCATGAGATAATCGATTTCTGTTGTTTTAAGCCGCTCCGTTTGTGGTACTTTGTTACAGCAGCCCAAGAAACTAATATAGATGTATAACCTAGCATGCCACTTAAGTTCTCTGTGCCTCAGTTTACTCATCTAAAAAAACAAAAAAAAGACAATAATAGACCTGCCTTCATAGCCTTGTTATGGGGATAAGATAAGTGTGGTAGGGCATCCACCTCTGGAAGCTGACAGTTAACAGACAGTAGCTGCTGCTACTCCCCATGGTCTTTCCCAGACAGACCCCATCCCTGGAGTTCACACCTGTACCTGGGCTCACTACCTTAGCCCCATAAGTGTCTGGGCTGCCAGTGACTCTCCTCACAGGTGGGGGTGGGGCGGTGGGGTGTCAGTGCGAACAGGGAGGGGAAGCACATGGTTGCCAAGGGGCTGGGTGCCCCACAGCCTTCACAGTGGAGTCCTTAGTCCTTGGCAAGCTGTCAGGAAGCTTTGTGGCTCTGGCTTCAGCCCCCACGAACCACAGCCCTCCTTGGCGTGCACACTGCCTGGACATTAGGCCTCCGTGTGCCCCCCTTCCTCCCCCAGACTTTGCCCTGACTCTTCCCTTATGCCTGGTGTCTTAGCCCATTCAGGCCACTGTAATAAAAAATTCCATAGTCTGGGTGGCTCATAAACAACAAAAATTTAGTTCTCACAGTTTTGGAGGCTGGGGAGTCCAAAGTCAAGGTGCTAGGAGTTTCAGTGTCTGGTGAGAGTCTCCTTCCTGGTTCCTAGATGGCTGTCTAATTGCTTGTGTCTCCACATGGTGGAAGGGACGAAAGAGCTCTCTGGGGTCTTTTTTATACAGGCACTAATCCCATTCATGAGGGTTCCACCCTCATGACCTAATCACCTCCCAAAAGCCCCACCTCCTAATACCATCACTTTGGGGGTTAGAATTTCAACATATGAATTTGGGGCGGGACACAAACTTTCAGTCTATAGCACCATTTCTCCCTGCTCAAATCCTACTCACCCGTTAAGACCTAAGTAAACACCCCCCCCATGAAGATATTCTAGATCTGTTCTGCCCAATAGAAATATAACACAAACCACATATGTCATTTTAAATTCTCTAGCTGTCAAATTTCAAAAAATAAAAAGAAACAGATGGACCTAAATTTTAATATTATGTTCCACTCAAACCAAAATATCCAAAAAGTTATTTCAACATGTAATCAACATGAAGTGTTAATGAGATATTTTACATTCCTTTCTTTCATACTAAGTCTTTGAAAGCCAATGTATATTCTACACTTAGAGCCCGTCTCAAACCAGACGGCCACGTTTCAAGGGCTCAGTGTCCACATATAGTGGCTCCTGATCAGACAGCAGAGTTCTAGATGCCTCAGGTCAGTTGTGTTTCTCCCTCCCTGGAGCTCGTGCTGCCTGTCATATCCTGCCCAGCCTCACTCCTCCTGTAACCTGAAGCTCCTCGAGTTTGGTTCACAGACATCCTGCTCACCTACTGTGCTCAGAACTGGACATACTGAGGCCGCAACCCCTTCCCCACCCTCATGGTGTTCAGGGTTAGGTCTCCTCCATCTCTGTCCCCTCACAGTGCCTTTTGGGATGTGTTCAGTGGAATGAAGGAATGAATCTGGTGGGCCTGGGGTCGGGGAGGGGTGGGGGCAGCCCAGGAGCAGCACAGGGACTCACCAGGCACTGGCAGATCCGGCAGGGGTCCCCAGGTGTGGTCCACTCTTGGCCATGCTCCCAGTGAGAACCACCTTCTGTGCAGCCTTGGGCTGGGGGCGATGGGCAGAGAGGAGGCCTGGTGGGAGCTTCAGCCAGAACCCCCTCCTTCACGTGCCCTCTGAGGGCTCTCCTCTGAGCCTAAACCAGACCAGATCCTACCTCTGCCTGGACCCCTCGCCTCAGCCTCCCAGCACCCCAGGCAGGGTAAGGCCCAAGTTCCTTAGCCTGCCCTTCCAGGCCTTCCAGGGCCAGCATGGCCACACCCACGTGTCTCTGGCCCCTCCCCACATCCCAGTGTAAGCTTTGGCCATTCCTGCCTGCCTGCACCTTCCCGACTAACACACACCCACCTCACACTGAGTGTCAGTCCCAAGCTGCCCTCTCTTCCTGGAATGCCCGCCACCGTGTTCCGCCCTTCGCCTTGCTAACTGCTCTTTAACCTTGAGGTTGGCTCCAGACACGCCACCTCCAGGATGCTTTTCTTCCTGTGCCCAGGCTGGATTAGGTCTCCTTCCTCATGGATTTAGTGTCACCCTCTAGTGGTCTGCCTCGAGGGCCCACCCCGTGTCTTCTGTGTGCAAAGCAGGTAATAGTCAATGTTTATTGACGTACCTATCATTACACACGTCTCACAAATGGGGAACTGAGGCACGGAGTAACTCCCTCAGAGGTACATAACCACTGACAAGGGCAGAATCTGAGCCCAGGCCTTCCAGCTCCGGAGCAGGGCTGGCCAGGCATGGGTCCCCCCACTGACGGCAGCCGCAGGTCAGAGGCCAGCAGAGTGGGCTTTGGGTTGAAGAAGTGGCAATAACAGCCCTCCCTGGAGCTCTGCCAGGGAAGGGGCAGGGCTCTCACCTTGGCAGGTCGGGCAGCAGTGCCCGGGCCTCAGGACTGGTCCAGGGCAGGGGGTGGACGGGCACTTCATGGGCACACAGCGAACCAGGCTCCTCTGTAATGCACCCATAGCTGTACTGCCCCTGGGTCTGGCTCCCAGAGACAGCAGGATGGGCCACAGAGTGGGGATGGAGGGAGAATCTCTCTGGCACCAGGCCTCGGAAAGTATGTGAGGGGCTGAAAGAGTGGCAGGTGTGACCCAGGGTAGGCGGGGGTGTCCCAGGAAGATCAGGGTCTGGGCAAAGGTGCGGGGGACTCACCAGGCAGGAGCATTGGAGACAAGGGTTGGAGCTGGACAGGAAGTTGGCCCCCTCCTCATAAAGCTGTCCCTCATACTCACAGCCTGGGGAGGGTTGCCAGCGTGACGGACTGGTCAGCAGAGAGCAGGGTGGGTGGACATTACCCGAGGGAAGGCAGGACCCCAAGTAGGTACGGAACCCTCTGGGGCCGAGGGGACGACGGGGCAGGGTGGGGGGAGGTCACCTGGCCGGCAGATGGGGCAGCACTCCCCAGGTGGGGTGTAACTCTCCAGGCAGTTGAGCTCTGAGCATGAGGGCCCCTGGCACTGCACCGTCCCTGCCTGCAGGGTAGACACTGAGTCCTCCTTCCTCCTCTACTGCCCAAGCCGAGTTACTCTGCTGGCCTAGCAGGCCTAGCAGGCTCCAGGCCTCAATGCCGGGGTGGCGGCAGCAGTCCTGCCAGGACCCCAGATTGGGCTTGGCGCTGCCAGGCCTGGGGTTAAGCCGGGCGGTGGGGATGTGGGTGGTAGATGGGACAAGGCTCTGATTCCCTTACCTGACAGGTACAGATGACACAGGGCTCCAGTTGCCACGTTTCCCCACTCCTGTGGCCTCCAGTACAGCCTGCAAAACCAGGGCCAGGCCCGCAAGTAAGAGACCCAGAGAACTGGGGCGAAAGCACGGCCAAGGGCGCCACATCAGAGGGGCACCATTCAGGCGATTCTCAGAGATTGTATACTTACTGCAACTTTCCAGCAGATGGCAGTATAGTGTCTGCCTCGAATAATCACCAGATTCCCATTATTTTACAACACATGGAAGCATTGAGGAAAGCGTGCCTTTTTAAAACCTTCACCAAAGACATTGTATGTGCTAGCAGTGGCCCTGAGACACCACGTGTCCTACAAGCGATGTGTGTGTGTGTCCCTTTTCTTTGTTGGGAGATCCAACAACTCCCAAGACTTTACTCCTCATCTCTGGCCAAGACTCTCAGGCTACATTTCCAGAACCCACCAGTCCCTAAGCCTCTGTCCCACCTTTCAAACTTGCAGCTGCCATTCTTCCCGGGGCAGGGTTGCCAAAGACAACATAGGATGCCCAGTTAAATGTGAATTTCAGATGAACAACACATACTATTGCAGTATAAGTATGTCCCAAATATTGCACGGGACATACTTGTATTTAAAAATATGTTATTTATACAAAATTCAAATTTAACAGGGCATCCTATTTTTTTTTTTTTTTTGGCAGTGCTGCTTGCAGGATCTTAGTTCCCCAACCGGGGACTGAACCCGGGTCCTCAGCAGTGAAAGCATGGAGTCCTAACCACCGGACCACCAGGGAAGTCCCAGGTATCCTGTACGTTTAGTTGCTAAACCCGGCACCCAGCAACATTATCTTCCTGACTATGAACCAGTAACAGCCGCTGTCTTCATGTCACTGGCACCACTAGTTTCCCAAGCTCAGAGTCCACTGTTCCATGGGATCCAACTACGTTCTTTGGAAACACCCCTCCTTCTGCAGCACACTGCCATCCCTGGCTCCATGCCTAGGCAACTACAGTAATAGCCCCCTAACTGGTCTCTCTGCATCTAGCCCATATACCACGTGAAAATTCCAAAAATGCCTCTTTAAACATGCCATACTCTTGCTTTTCAGCCTTCAGTGGTTCCCCATTGTCCACAGAAGAAAGTCCAAACTGTAAGGCTTACAGCAGTGTGTTCCCAGCTTTCCCAGTCTGATTTCCTGCAACACCCTTTCCCCACTCTGTGTGCCTAGAGGGCCTTCAAGTACACCCTTTCCTTCTGGTGAAACCCCACTTTCCCTTGAAGATCCAGCTCGGATGACCTGTTGTATGTAGGGCCCTCCCTGATCACCTAGTCTGGGTGGGCTTCCCCTGCCTTCCTGCCCTCTCCTCTGGCGACTGACCACTTAAGACCTTTCTCCACCTCCTCTTAATCTGTTCATTGGCTCTTAAATCTTGTATTATACTAGCTACATATATTTATCTTCTCACTAGATTAGAAGCTGCCTGAGGAAAGGAAAAAGATCAGGTAGAGCAGGGGTCCCCAACCCCCAGGCCACGGACAGGTAATGGTTCGTGGCCTGTTAGGAACCGGGCCGCACAGCAGGAGGTGAGCAGCGGCCAGTGAGCAAAGCTTCATCTGTATTTTACAGCCGCTCCCCATCGCTCGCATTCCCTCCTGAGCTCCGCCTCCTGTCAGATCAGCGGTGGTATTAGATTCTCATAGGAGCGCGAACCCTACTGTGAACTGCGCATGCGAGGGATCTAGGTTGTGTGCTGCTTGTGAGAGTCTAATGCCTGATGATCTGAGGTGGAGCTGAGGCGGTGATGCTAGCGCTGGGGAGCGGCTGCAAATACAGGTTATCATTAGCAGAGAGGTTTGACTGCACAGAGACCATAACAAATCAGTGACTTGCAGACTCATATCAAAACCCTATCGGTGGGTGGCAAGTGACAATTACGCTGCATCTTATGGAATAGACTGGACATAAGCAACACACTTTTGGTGTCTCTGTCTCCCATCGCCCCCAGAAGGGACCATCTAGTTGCAGGAAAATAAGCTCAGGGCCCCCACTGATTCTGCATTACGGTGAGTTGTATAACTATTTCATTATATATTACAATGTAATAGAAATAGAATGTACCATAAATGTAATGAGCTTGAATCATCCCGAAACCTTCCCCCACCACCACCCCGGTCCATGGAAAGACTGTCTTCCATGAAACTGGTCCCTGGTGTCAGAAAGGTTGGGGACCACTGACGTACAGCCTTTGGCTCAGTCCCAGGTCAGAAGCAGCATTTGCTGACTTGGGCTTCGCTTCTGAACACCCCTAGCCACTGCCGGAGCGAGTGGGCAGACGCCCTCTGGACACATGGCAGGTGGCAGGCCAGGCTCTGGGGCCCCAGAACGAGTGCAGGAGGTGGGTCTGGGGCCGGCAGAAGGCTGACCGGGCTCGCAGTGCGGGCAGCACGCTCCCGGCTCCGGGCAGGGTCCTCTTGGGCATGGCTTCTGGGTGCAGGTTACGGCTCCTTCCTGTGGAAAGCAGGCACCAGAACCCTGGAGGATAGGGCCTCCAGAACCGAGACCTCTCCCCAGGCTGGGACCCACCAGAGGCGCAAGAGGCTGAGTTGGCTCAGACTATGTGGGCTACCCTTGGCCCAAGGGCAGAAAAGAGACATCCTTCCCCCTCCCCCATCATCTCCTGCCACTCTCGACCCTCGGGAAACCATCTCTTCCAGGTACCAGCAAATTCCCCAGCGTGGAGAGATCCTAGGAAGGGAACCAAGGGCTTCCTCAGTGGAAGGGTGAGGAAAGAAATAGGTGGGTGTGAAGCCAAGTGAGGGAGCAGGTGGATGCCAGGGACGACTGGGGACACTGAGGGTCCGCAGGCGAGGGGGCAGGTATAGGAAGACAAGAACCCCACTGTGTGCGTGGGGATTGAGCTCCAGAAAGCAGAACTCTTCGGAATCAGCTGAAGGCGGCCAGTTTGCAAGGCTTGGGGGGATGGGCAGGGAGACCCCCCTTCTAAACATTCAGCACACCAGGCTGCAGCGACAGGTAGCTGAGGTGAGGCAGACAGGTGAGGGGAACAGGTATGGGATATCCAGGGTGGGTCACAGGAGCTCACCAGGCAGCGGCAGGTGGTACAGGCATCTGTGGCGAAGGTCTCCCCATTGCCATAGGCCTGACCATTGTGGCTGCAGCCTGAGGAGGAGATGGTGCTGTCGCTCAGGCACTCAGGGCCATTTCCGGGCCCTGAGGCGGTGCCAGTGGGCAGGCGGATGGCACTCACCATGGCAATGGGGCAGCCCAGGCTGGGGGACACAGTGTGTAGCCCCGTCCTGGCAGACACAGGCTGTGCAGGCATCAGGCTCCCAGCGAGCCCCCTCGGGCCAGGCCCGACCCAGCCCCCAGCACTGGGGCGAAGCCGCGTGGCATTCACAGGACTCCAGCTGCCTCACCCTCCCCTGCAGGTCTTTGTTCTGGGGAGAGAGGTGGGGGTAAGAGGCACTGGCTCAGCTTCCCCCACCAACTCCCACAGATTTGTGGGGTGTGAAAGCCAAGGCAGGATGAGAAGGAAACGTGACAGTTCCAGAGCAAGGTGGGTCCCCCTCCAGGCAGCATCCAGCTCAAACAGTCCCAGTTCTCATAGCCTGGGGTCTGGATAGGCTCCCAGGGGAACACGGGCCCCCAGTCCTCTCCTTTGGACAAAAGGGGACTCAGTCCCTGTGACCCAACAGTTAAAGACCTTTATCTGTCCAAAATCTTTCCTGATGATGCTCCATAATGTTTGCCAAATACATGAAAGAATATGAAAATCTGACAAAACAAATACCCGGAGGTTCTTCCCTGGTATGAAAGAACCGATGTTAAGAACTGCTCAGGGCTTCCCTGGTGGCACAGTGGTTAAGAATCCGCCTGCCAATGCAGGGGACACAGGTCCGAGCCCTGGTCCGGGAAGATCCCACATGCCGCAGAGCAACTAAGCCTGTGCGCCACAACTACTGAGCCTGCGCTCTAGAGCCCGTGAGCCACAACTACTGAGCCCGTGCGCCACAACTACTGAAGCCCGTGTGCCTAGAGCCCGTGCTCCGCAACAAGAGAAGCCACCGCAATGAGAAGCCCTCACACTGCAACGAAGAGTAACTCCCACTCGCTGCAACTAGAGAAAGCCTGCCCGCAGCAACGAAGACCCAACGCAACCAAAAATAAATAAATAAATAAAATTTATTAAAAAAAGAACCGTTCAGATAAGAATCTTTCTATGTGCATTTAAAACAAAACTCTATTTCAGGGTCCCACGGGCCCCCCTTCTCTCCTTCCCTCCCACTACATGAGGCCCGCCCTACCCCACGCACACCCACTGCCTCCAGTGGTACCTGTTCTCTGAGCTCCGTGACCTCAGCCTCCAGCCTTCCCAGTCGCTCCTCCAGGGGACGCCACCGCTCCTGGGGGGCCCCAGCAGGGGCTGAGGAGTGGGCCGGCGCCTGCAGCTGGTAGTCGTGGATGTCAGCAAGCCCCAGAGGCTCCCTGGGGACGGCTCCACCTGAAAGCACAAGGATCCAGGGAGGGCCTATCGCTGAGGGGCTAGCAAGGCTTCCTGGGTTTGTCTTCCCAATGATGTCTATCCTGTGCCCACCCTTGTCCACCTGTCACCCACCATCCAGGGAAGGAGAGGTGGTCTGTGAGGGGCTGGAGTGAAAGCATGGGAGGAGGAGGAGAGAGCCCTGGGTGCCCGGAAGTGACCTAGACCAGCTTTCCCAAGTAGTAAGAGCCTCAGGCAGGTATAAGCCCCAGGGACCCCGCCTCACTGGGAGCCTGGGGGCAGGATCTAGATCAGGGCCTCTCTGTAGGCTGCCCTGGCTCTGCAGGGGTCCTCAGCCACGGGGGCTGTGCCAGGGTCATCCAGCCTCACTCAGGCCACGGACTTGGCCAGGGGCAGCCTGGGGAGCTGATGTGTCATGCTGGGAGGGCCCACAAGCCAGCACAGGCTGAAGTGCAGGAGAGGGAAACAGAGGAGTGAAAGGTGGGGCTGCTTTCAGGTACCCAGGGTCTGTGGGCAAACCCCACTGCTTGTCTTCACCTTCAGAAAGGGCAGCACTTCCGTGCACAGGGAGGGGCAACTCTTCCCTCTGCTGCTACTCCCAAGCCTTGCCACTGTTTTCCGGGCCTGTGGCAGAGGGGCCTGGGAACTCCACCCAGGGCAGAGTGGGCTCCAGAAAGCGGGACTTGGCTGCATTTCTTGAAGGGTTCGGGGAGAGTGCTGGTAGGGCCCCCAACTAGATTTCAAGGCACCATGAGAATGAAGACAGGTTGTCCGGGTTCTAGAGGACACTGGGTCCTAGGAGGGGGCACCTCTAAGTTCAGGCCTGGGGTTGGGGACGGCCACTTTCACCTGACTCTGATCCCCCTCCTGCCGTGGGGAAAACAAAGGCGGTGGGGGTCATTGTTTGACTCCAGGTGTCCTTCCCACAAACATCATCCCTCCTCCCAGCAGAGGTGGGCGGGGCAGCAGAGGGTCTGGAGCAGGAAGTGAGTGAGCACGAGGAAGAGGTGGAGGGAGCGGGAAGGGTCTTTCCACCGAGGCAGCTCATTAGTGAGGCTGGGCCTGGGGGTGGCTAAAAGGGCTTCTCGTGCAGACTAGCCCCGTGAAGCAGGGGAACGATACTGCTCACTCCCCCGCCCAAAGGGGGTTGAAGATTCTCGTCCAAGACCTAAATTGTCTTCTTTTGTCCAAACCTGCTTTGTCCTGAGTTCCTCGGCTTGGTTAATGCCATCCCCACCTACCCAGAAACCTGGGGCTCAGCTTCTCTCTTTTGTACCCCTCCCAAAGTCCATCAGTCTCTGGTCTCAGCCGGTCATCCCCCCACCCCCCCCCCCCCCCCCCCCCCCCCCCCCCCCCCCCCC